TCATAATAATTATAATGATATATATATAGTAGTCTTATCAAGAGTGCTAACGTAAAGAGTAAAAATGGAAGGATGGCTATTCATGATCATGATCATGAAGATGATGATAATGATACTATATTGAAGGTAGGAATAATGATTATAATTATGTGAGTATGTTGTTGTTATGTTAGTAGTGATATTAGTATTATTATTGTTGTTATTCTTATCCTCAGTCATATGTTATGGATAAGAAGGTAATTGATGATACTGATAGAGTGTATGAAGTAAGGCGAAGTTTACGTATAAAAAATCAAAGAACATAACGAAATAGTAATTAGTATCCATATTATTAATAATGCTGGTTTAGTTACCTCTTATCACTACTCTTATTCCTTTATCATCATCGTCATGTAGTAGTAGTATTGTTGTTGTTGTTGTTGATATCACTATGGCCTCCTTACCTAGCCTTGGTAATCTAACATCCACTGATCAAGCTATAGTTAATAAAGAGATGCAGGATATGCAGGTAATGATAATAATGAATAGTTGTATCGATGATGATGATGTGTGATATAAGTGATAATTATTAGGTTAATGAATCGTTACAGACCTATAATGGTTTGGTAGAGCGTTGCTTCAATGAATGTATACAGAACTTCAGAGCTAAGAAGTTGGATTTCCAAGAGGTAGTAATAATAATACCACTATTACTATTGATGGTGATGATCAATACTGACCATGTCTTGACTCTCTTTTAGACTGATTGTATTAAACGATGTGTTGGGAAGTATATGACGTATTCTCAAAGAGTTGGTACAAGGTTTGCTGAGAAGAATCAACAAGTAGCTCAAGAGCAACAACAACAAGCAGCAGCAGCAGCTACTACCCATCCTTAATGCGTCTATTCATAATGATGATGATAATAAACTGATGATCGTTAGTATCGATTCAGTAGTAGTAATTATCGTTATCATCAGTGTTTCCATTAAGACCAAGATATGATTATTATGTTGAGATGAATTGGTAGTAGTAACAGCACATAATAATAGTGGTTTATTTGTGGGTACCATAGTGCCGATGCCGATGGTAGTTGAAGAATCATTGCTTCTGAAGAAGATCGATACACGTTTGTTCATAGCTGGTAGTAATAATAATAATACCTATTATTATTACTACTGTCTAGTATGACGTCCATTGTTAGATAAGAATAAGCTATGGCGTCCAAGAGCTGCAAGAGGTGTATTTGGTGGTCAAGTTATAGGACAAGCTTTAGTTGCTGCTACTCATTCAGTAATAACTATAATAATTATCATTATTTTCATATTAGGTTAATACATCATCCTACTCTGCACATTCACTGCATTGTTATTTTATATTACCTGGTGATCCTAAGTCTGATATAATGTAGTAGTAATGATGAAGTGTTGATGATTGTTGTATTGATGATATAATGATAGTAGATACTATGTTGAGGATCTTAGAGATGGTAAATCATTTGTAACAAGGAGTGTTGAAGGTAGACAGAATGGTAGAGCTATTTTCAAGATGCTTGTAATAATGATATTAATAATATACATGAGACGAGTAGTAGTAATAGTAATAGTACAATACAGGTACAATTTCATACTTTTGAAGAAGGATCACCTTATCTAAACTATTCAATACCAATGCCTAAAGTTAAATATCAACCAGAAGAGTTATTACCTACAGAATCGTAATAATAATAGTATGATTATGTGGTATTAATAATACTTAGTATTGCTGCATATATGGCAGAAAATGATCTTCGTCTATCACCATGGACTAGAGAGTAAGCAGTATTTAGTAGTAGTATTTGATAATCTTATATCATGTATATATGATTATTATTATTAGGTATTTTCGTCAATACAGTAAAGATTCAATACCAGTCGATCGTCGTCCAGTATCAGACTTCAATCGTAAGTTATCTGGATCGTCATCTTCATCGTTCTCCTCTCAAGAAGAAGAAAGAACTCATTATGTAAGATATATCTTTATGAAAATCATAATCAAAGAACATTATGTAACAGATGGATATGGTATCACATCCTGGAACGGTTAATGATAATAATAAACCTAAACATGAGATCGCTAGAAGACAGTAATAATAATATTCATCATCATCATATGATAATAATAGT